AGGAAACTATCATCTTTCTGGTTTAGATCAACGCCAGAATCATAACTATGCTATAAATCTCATACGTGAAAGCGCTGCTAATGAAGCTAACCTATTATTACAACGATTCCCATTACCTGGTATTGACCCTATGATTGTAGTAGTTTCCGCTGAAGCTGGTGCTCATAGATTATATGATCACGACCATTTTTAACCATTTTTGATTACTATATTTTTTGTACAGAATAATATCAATACTAAAGTTTTCGAATTAGTTATCTTAGCTTCTTAGTTTTTTCGAATTAATCTTTTAATTTTCTTTGTTAATAAAATGTTTACATATTAAAAAATTACTAGACTTATAGTTTGCAATAAAAAAATTTATTTACTGTACAGATTTTTGTACAGATTTTATCATATTACTTTAATAAAATTATTTTCAATAAAATCATTACTTTCAAGTATTTTCATTCAAATCTGCAAATAGCTACGTATGATAAAACAATATTACACCTTTTTTAGTCCGCAGTACTCAAATTCCGAATCCAACAAAAAAAAATGGGAAATGATAAAATACAAAATTACGGAATTGTAGAATTACAGAGATAAAGGCACTAACGCTAATTAAAAAAATCAATGCATGGTAATGTAACTGCGTATAATCAATGTCTATACAAATACATTATTAATTTCTTCGCTTTCTTTTTTAGGAATTGACCGACTTTTTTTGTGCGAGTAACACAAAACTTTAAAAAAAAGAATTCCGTGATTTTTTTAGTTAGTTATTTTTTTTTTTTTGGTATATCAGGCTTTCTTCTCATTATCCGAAGTATAAAAGGTAATGTCACCTTTTGTTTACTGTATTTGCGTAAAATGACGTCCTGAGGCGTTATTTTGAGGCTTCCAATTTAAAGATAACTAAAATAATTAATTTAACCGAATATTTTCTTTTTTTCAAATCAAAAAAATTATGGTTCTATTCGGTTAAATTAATTATTAGCTCTCCATATTGTGTGTCTCAACGCCCGGGGCGTTATTTGGGAATGCATGTTTATGCAATATTACAGCAGATGAAAAAGAAACTCATTGAAATTTATGAATTGATGTTTCAGTGATGATCTGCAGTCAGCATAACAAACGTGAAATAACTCTTTTTCACATTTCTATATGATGATCGCACGACGACGACCTTCTCACTAATCAAGAAAAAAAAAAAAAGACAAAATTTCTAGCAATGCTTGTTATTAGAGATGGTCGACTGTTAATAAGTATTATTATTATTATTATATTAACAAATATTACCATCAAAATTTTTTATGTGATTATAATAAGAATGATACGATATTTGTTCGCAAAGTTGTCTGATCAGAATTTTATTCTATTTATTTTGTGAAAATCAACCGTAATTAGCAATAATACGTAAAAATAAATAAGCAAGGGGTAAAAAAAAACAAAAAAACAAACCAATTATTACTCATCGCCCATTTCTACGATACTTGTTATTTCCCGGTAGAATCGGGGGAATAAACGTTTTTGGAAGCTTATAAAGTAATAATTATAATTCGTTAAACACCGTCATGACA